CGTCGAATGGGCCTTCTGGCCCGGGCCGGCCGATTGCGCGACATCGGCCACATCGGGCCTTGCGACCGATGCGGGCAGCCTTCTGGCCGATCTGGACGCGGTGACGCCGCCGGCCTGTGACGATGCGGCCGGGCGGTTTCTCGGCCTGTCCTTTGCGGGATGGAACGTGATCGCCAGCCTTGGCCTGGCGGCTGTGGCCTTTTTCCTGGCGACGCGCCCGGCGCGATGAAAGAGCCGCCTACGGCTCCAGCTCGACGTCCCAGTACAAATAGTCCATCCAGCTCTCGTGAAGATAGTTCGGCGGGAAGCTGCGGCCATTGTTGTGCAGATCATGCACGGTCGGCTGGAACGGCATCTGACGCGGCTTCATGTCGGTGTTGTGCGGCATCCGCCCGCCCTTGCGCAGATTGCACGGCGAACAGGCGGTGACGATGTTTTCCCAGGTCGTCTGACCGCCGAACCGGCGCGGGATCAAGTGGTCGAAAGTCAGGTCATCGAGTGAGCCGCAATACTGGCATTCGAAATGATCGCGCAGGAAGACGTTGAAGCGGGTGAAGGCGGGGTAGAGCGCGGGTTTGACGTATTGCTTGAGCGACACGACGCTCGGCAGACGCATCGCCGCCGACGGGGAATGGACCTCGTGATCATATTCGGCGACGATGTTCACGCGGTCCAGGAAGACGGCCTTGATGGCGTCCTGCCAGGACCAGATTGACAGCGGGTAGTAACTCAGCGGACGGTAGTCTGCATTCAGCACCAGGGAGGGAAGGGCCTCCGGCGAAACCGCTACTGTCAAAACTGACCCCTTTCAGTTCTGTCCCTTACGCGCCTTATAATTACCCCCTTGTGACAGCCTTGTGAAGCTGCACACGATTTCGTCGGTCTATACGAAAGCGGAAAAGTTTCAAAGGCTTGGTGCGCCACCGTCATCATGGCAAGACCGTCCTGCCGGTCGTCTGGCCGTACCACGCCCACAAAAGGCGGGCGGCAACGCCGCGCCACGGGCTCCATGATTCGGCCATGGCGCGCAGCGCCTTGTCGTCTGGCCGGCCATCGAGCCCGTAGGCCGACGCGGCAGCGACTTGCAGAGCAAGATCGCCGGCGGGGAAGATGTCACGGTGGCCGGCGGCGAACAGAAGGTAGACTTCGGCAGTCCAGGGGCCGATCCCCTTGACCTCGGTCATCGCGGCGATCGCCGCTCCGGCGTCGATCGCGCACAGCCCGTCAAGGTCGAGCGCTCCGGCGTCGATCGCATCGCATATGGCGCAAAGCGTCCGCTGCTTGGGCCGCGACAGGCCGATCTCGCGCCACACGGTTTCGCCGGCCGTCATGAAACTGTCCGGCGTCAGCGGATCGACGAGCCGGACCATCCGGCCGGTGATCGCATCGGCGCTCTGTTTGGAGACCTGCTGCGACACGATGATGCCGGCAAGGCTGGCAAAGCCCGGCTCGGTGCGCCGCAGCGGCACATGGTCAACGTCATCGAGCAGTCGCGCCAGTGCCGCGTCCGCGCGCGCCAGATGGACCAGCCCGGTGGCGATGTCGTCATGGGTCTCGATCGTTTGGGGCGCGTCCATCATGCCGGTGCGGTTGGCTGGTTTCGTTCGGCATGAAGGTGTGCCACAGATGCGCACCCTTGGCACCCCTGAGCATGTCGGGAGTGATCGTGACACCCGTCTTCCGTTTCGCGCCGAGCCCCAATGGCCTTTTGCATCTCGGCCACGCCTATTCGGCGCTTTTGAACTTCGACATGGCGCGCGCTGCCGGCGGCCGGTTCCTGATGCGCATCGAGGACATCGACACGGTCCGCTGTACGCCGGAGCTCGAAGCGCGCATGCTCGAAGATCTCGCATGGCTGGGGCTTGAATGGGAAGAGCCGGTGCGGCGCCAGTCAGAGCATTTCGCCGATTACCGCGCGGCGCTGGAGGCGCTGACCGATGCCGGGCTGGCCTATCGCTCAGCGATGAGCCGTGGCGACATTCGCCGCCTCGTTGAAGCGCACGAGGCCGAAGGCGTCCTCTGGCCGCGCGATCCGGATGGCGCGCCGCTGTTCCCCGGCCGCGAACACGAGGGGGATGAGGAGGAGGGTGGCGTTTGGCGGCTCGATGTTGCGGCCGCGCTCGACCATCTTGGCGCACGGGACCAATTGGGCTGGATGGAGGAAGGCACGGGTCCGGCCGGCGAGACCGGATGGCAGGCGGCCGATCCCGCGGTCTGGGGCGACTTCGTCCTGGCGCGCCGGGACACGCCGACCAGTTATCATCTGTCGGTGGTCGTCGATGACGCGCTGCAGGGCGTCACGCACGTGGTGCGTGGGCGCGACCTCTTCATGGCGACCTCGGCGCATGTTCTGTTGCAGGACCTTTTGGGCCTGCCGCGTCCGGTCTATCACCATCATGATCTGGTGATGGATGATGACGGTACGCGCAAACTGTCGAAAAGCCGGGGCGACACGGCGCTGGCCGCGTTGCGGGAAGCCGGCATGACGCCCGGCGATGTTCGCCGCGTGGTCGGATTGCCGGAGGCCGTTTAGACCTTGCGAGGGCTGCGCCTCAGAAGCCGAAGCGGCCGAGCATGTTCTTGATCAATGCCAGCAGGGTCAGGCACACAAAGCCACCGGTGACCCCTCGCACGGCATCGGCGGCCATGGCGTCGATCGGCAGGCGGACAGTGCTGCCGAAATGCACGCCGATCAGGGCGCCGGCCACCAGAATGGCCATGTTGCCGACCACGCCGAAGCCGTCTTCCTGCATCACGCCGTCCATGGCCAGGCCGGTGAAGAAGCCGGCAGCGCCAATGGCGAGGGCTGCGATCATGAGCGTTGTCGTGTCAAGGTCCGTGAGCATGACGTGCACTGCTCCTGTGACGGCGCAATTGTGACAGGCTGGAGTTGCGGTTTCGTCGATGCCGCCCGGCAAATCCGGCTTGCGCGGTTTACCGGCCGTTCACCAAAAACCTACTCGGCCGGCTGGTCGGCCGTATTGCCCCGGGCGGGGACGACGATGGCGCGTGCGGCGCGATATCGCAGGATTGCCGCGTTGATCTCGGCCCCGAGGATGAAGATCGCCGAGATGATGTAGAGGAAGACCAGCGCGATCATGATCGATGCCAGGCCCGCATAGGTCGTCACATAGGTGGCAAACCGTTCCAGATAGGCGGCGAAGACACCGGCTCCGATCAGCCATGCCAGAATGGTCAGCGCGATGCCGGGCACGAGCGATCCGAGGCTGCGCTTGCCGTCCGGGAGCCATTTGTGGACGACGAACAGTCCGGTGATCAAAACGGACAATGCGACGACGTATCGCCAGAAGCCGATCGAGAAGGACACGGTCTCCATGCCGGGCACCCATTGCTCGGCCAGCCGATAGGCAAGCGGCGCAAGGACCAGAAGAAAACTGATCGCCATGAAGCCGATGGTGGCGATGACGACGAACAGAAGACTCTGCAGGCGCATGAAGGTGAAGGATCGCGTTTCGGTCACCCGGTAGGCCCGGTTGAGCGCGACCCTCAGGGCTTCGATGCCGTTGGAGGCGAAGACCGCGGCGACGATGACCGAAATCGTCAGCAGGCCGCCGCGCTGCACGGTCAGGACGCTTTCGACCTCGCGGGCGATGGGCGCGGCGATCCGCTCGGGCCAGGTGTCGAACACCAGATGCACCGCAACCTCGGCGAACCGGTCGGCGCCCAAGAAGGTGGCGAGCGTCGTCGCAAAGATCAGGAACGGGAAGATCGCGAGCAGCGTCGACAGCGCGACATGGCTGGCCAGCGCCCAGCCGTCGGTTTCGTTGAAGTGACCGAACGCATCGCGCAGGATACGGCGCGTGATCAGAAACTGTCTCAGCATCGCCTTGCCGGTTTGAATTGCCCGCGCCCGCCGACTATGCAAAAGCGCGCCGCCAAACTAAGCGCTGGGATCATGACACGCAAACCCGCCATCGTCGTCACCGGATGCTCGTCGGGCATCGGCGCGCACTGTGCCGGCCGACTGCGCGCCGACGGCTGGCACGTCGTCGTGACCGCGCGCAAGGAAACCGATCTGGAGCGGCTGCGCGGCGAGGGGTTCGATGCGGTCTATCTGGACTATTGCGAGCCGAGCTCGATCGATGGCTGTTTCGCCTTTGCGATGGAGGCAACCGGTGGCCGGATCGACGCGCTGTTCAACAATGGCGCCCATGCGCAGCCGGGCGCAGTCGAGGATGTGCCGGTGGATGCGCTGCGTGCCCAGTTCGAAGCCAACTTGTTCGGCTGGCATCACCTGACCCGGCTGGCCGTTCCGGCGATGCGGCAACAGGGCGCAGGGCGGATCGTGCACAATTCCTCGGTGCTCGGCTTCGTGCCGGTGCCGCTGCGCGGCGCCTACACCGCCTCCAAATATGCGCTCGAGGGGCTGATGCTGACCCTGCGTCAGGAGCTTGCCGGATCGGGCATCCATGTCAGCCTGATCGAGCCGGGGCCGGTCCCCTCACGGTTCGCGATGAACACGCTGCCCTGGATCGAGCGCTTCATCGACGTCAAGGGTTCGGTGCACGCCGAAGCCTATCGCGCGCGGCTCGAGCAGTTGCGCGCCGGCGGCACCGGTGACGATGGCGGCAAGGCGCTGGACTGGTGCTACCGGGCGCTGTCGGCGGCCTTGACCGACGCACGGCCGCGGCCCCATTACCATGTCACGCCGCAGACACGCCTTGCCGCGCTGGGCAAACGTGTCGCGCCGTCCGACCTTCTCTATCGACTCCTGGCGCGCGGCGCCTAGTTTCAGACCCAGTCTTTCCAACCGGGAACAGTCCATGTCAGGTCCATTGTTCTATCTGGCGATTCTCGCCATGCTCGCCGTGTTTGCCGTGCTTCTTGCCGGCCTGCGCAACATGATGAAGCAGGGTGACGCCAACGTCTCCAACAAGCTGATGCAGTTGCGGGTGTTTTTGCAGTTCGTTGCGGTGGTGATCATCGTGCTGGTTGTCTATCTTGCCCGGCAGGGCAGCAGCGGAGCGGGATAAGGGCCGATGGTCGTTCTGAACAAGATCTACACCAAGACGGGCGATGACGGCACGACGGCGCTTGGCACTGGCGAGCGGCGCCTGAAATATGACCGGCGGGTGAGCGCCTACGGGACGGTCGACGAGGCCAATGCCTGCATCGGCATGGCGCGGCTGCACACGGGCGCCGATGCCGACCTCGACCGGATGCTGTCGCGCATCCAGAACGACATGTTCGATCTCGGCGCGGACCTGGCAACGCCGGAGAGCGAAGAGAAGCTCGACTATGAACCGCTCCGGATCACCGATGCGCAGGTGACCCGGATCGAAGCGGATATCGATGCGCTCAATGCCGGTCTGCAACCGCTGCGTTCGTTCGTGCTGCCTGGCGGCAGCGAAGCGGCGGCGGCGCTGCATCTGGCCCGCACGGTGTCGCGCCGTGCCGAACGCGACATGGTCGAACTGGCCGAACAGCCGGGCGAACACGTCAACCCGGTGGCGCTGCGCTACATGAACCGTGTCTCCGATTTCCTCTTTGTCGCGGCGCGGGTCGTCAACGACAATGGCGCGGGTGACGTCTTGTGGGTGCCGGGCAAGAACCGCTGAGGGCGTTGGCCGTCAGACAAGGCGTTTCTCGAAGAAGAAATCCGGGTAGGGATCGTCGTTGAAACGCTCGATCTCCGTCCATCCGTTGCGCATGTAGAGCTCATAGGCCTCGGGCAGGGCGCGGTTGGTGTCGAGGCGCAGCATGTCCATCGACAGGGCGCGGGCTTCGTCTTCGATGGCGGCCATCAGGCGCTTGCCCAGGCCGGCACCGCGCGCATCGGGCGCGACCCACAGCCGTTTGACCTCGCCGAGCGTGCTGCCGTTTCCTTTCAGGCCGACGCATCCGACGGGCAGGCCATCGGAGAGGGCGACCAGAAACGCGCCGCGCGGCGGCACCATGTCCGACGCTTCGGGATCGCACGAAAGCGAGACGTCAAAGCCCTCCTCGAACCTCCGGGCCAGTTCGGCGTAGTAGCGCTCGAGGCCGTAGCGGGCATCGCCACTGGTCGGGTCGACCCGCTCGATGGTGACGGCATGGCGGTTCATGGCGGTGGCGATGAAGTCCATTGCTTCCAGAAGCGCGTCCGGAGCCGGATGGTCGGACAGGAACCGGTCGGCGGCCTCGTCGGACAAGTTTTCATAGGCGTTGAATTCGGTACGGCCGGCATCCGTGAGTTCGACGATACGCCTGCGTCCGTCATCGGGATGGGTCCGGGTTTCGATGAGCCCTTCATCTTCCAAACTGCGCAGCAGGCGGCTGGCCAGACCCGAATCGAGCCCCAGATAGGTCCGGATGTCGGCAATATCGCACCGGCCTTGTCCGACGGCATTCAGGACGCGCGCTGCGCCAAGCGGCCGGCCGCGTCCCAGAAAGGACTGGTCCAGCGCGCCCACCTGTCGCGTGACGGCGCGGCTGAACCGCCGGTAACGGGAAATCGGGTCATGTTCCATTTATCTGACTTTAGTCAGATAAAATCTCGGGTCAATGTCTGGTCGGGACATGCCGCATTTGCCGATTGAACTGGCGGCCTGGCTCCGCTCTAATGGCGCAAACAGTCGCCGGGGTCCGCTATCGATGTTTGTGCCGCTGCACGATGCCAACCGGCTCAAGCATATCAGGCTGCAATATGTGACGCTGGCGATCATTGCCGCCAATGTCCTCATCTTTCTCGGCGTCAACCTGGCGGCGACTGAAGCGGGACTTTTTGCAACCGTCACCTCGCTCGGTTACACGCCCGCCGTCGTCAACGATTTCGCCGAACTGCCGCCCGAACTGGTCTGGATTCCGGAGGAAATGTCGCTGGTCAGCTATTCATTCCTGCACGGCGATTTCTGGCACCTTGGCGGCAACATGCTGTTCCTGTGGGTGTTCGGCGACAATGTCGAGGACGCGATGGGCCATTTCCGGTTCCTGATCTTCTATCTCCTATGCGCGATCGCCGGCGCTCTGGCGCACGGTCTGATGGACCCGGCCTCCGCTGCGCCGCTGATCGGCGCGTCCGGGGCCGTTGCCGGGATCGTCGGCGCCTATCTGCTCCTGCATCCGCGCGTCCGCGTCTGGGTGCTGGTTCTGGGCCGCATCCCGTTGCCGCTGCCGGCCTGGATTCCACTGGGGCTCTGGATCGGGTTCCAGTTCGCGATGATTGCGCTGATGGCCGACGATCAGGTGTCGTGGGCCGCCCATATTGGCGGCATCGTCGCCGGCATGGCGCTGGTTCTCGTCTTGCGGCGCCGCGGCGTGCCGCTGTTCGACCGGGAGATCCGCACGCCGCAGGCGGTGGAGGTCGACGTCTCCCGCCCGCCTGCGCCGACGCACGGCCCATGGGGGCGCGGCGGGTCGTGACCGGCTTGTTGAAGCAACCAGCTTTAACGTTGACGTAAACGTCAAAATTCGATACGAGGCCGCAAATGTGCGGTTCGGTGCTGACCGGGCTTGCGCGCCGGCCTCAATCCATGCATCCACGGGCCGACGCGGCATGTCGGCAATGCGCAAGCCTCGCCGCCCGCGGACGACTAACGGGCAGGGCCGGTCAACGCCGGTTCGGCGAAAGGGAGAGATGGTGCGATGAAAATCCTTGTCCCGGTGAAGCGGGTTGTCGATTACAATGTGAAGATCCGGGTCAAGGGTGACGGATCGGGCGTCGAACTGGCCAATGTGAAGATGTCCATGAACCCGTTCGACGAGATTTCCGTCGAGCAGGCGATCCGCATGAAGGAAGCGGGCCAGGCCGACGAGATCGTCGTAGTGTCGATCGGTCCGGACAAGGCGACCGAGACGCTGCGCACCGCGCTCGCGATGGGCGCCGACCGGGGCATTCTGGTCAAGCATGACGACATCGTCGAACCGCTGGCCGTGGCCAAGATCCTCAAGGGCATTGTCGACGAGGAACAGCCGGGACTCGTCATTCTGGGCAAGCAGGCGATCGACGACGATGCCAACCAGACCGGCCAGATGCTCGCGGCGCTGCTCGGCTGGAGCCAGGGCACGTTCGCATCCAAGGTCGAGATCGATGGCGACAAGGCCAATGTCACGCGCGAAGTCGATGGCGGATTGCAGACGGTCAAGATCACAATGCCGGCCATCGTGACCACCGATCTGCGGCTGAACGAGCCGCGCTATGCCTCGTTGCCCAACATCATGAAGGCCAAGAAGAAGCCGATCGACGAGAAGGTGCCTGGAGATTACGGCGTCGATGCCGCGCCGCGCCTGACGGTTCTGAAAACGGAGGAGCCGGAAGGCCGCAAGGCGGGCGTCAAGGTCGCCGATGTTGCCGAACTCGTCGACAAGCTGAAGAACGAAGCGGGTGTCCTTTAAGGGCGGGGAGCGAAAAGCAAAATGACAATTCTTCTGATTGCAGAACACGACAACGCAACCCTTTCCGACCAGACCGCCAAGGCGCTGAGCGCCGCCAAGGACATTGGCGGCGACGTGCATGTGCTGGTCGCAGGCCAGGGCGCGCAGGCAGCTGCCGATGCCGCCGCCAAGCTGGATGGCGTCGCCAAGGTGCTGCTCGCCGAGGATGCATCGCTCGAACATCAACTCGCCGAGCCGATGGCGGCGCTGATCGCCGGCCTTGCCGGCGACTATGACGTGCTGATCGCGGCGGCGACCACCAACGGCAAGAACATCATGCCGCGCGTGGCCGCCCTGCTCGATGTGATGCAGATTTCCGAGATCACCGAAGTGGTCTCCGCCGACACGTTCAAGCGGCCCATCTATGCGGGTAACGCGATCCAGACCGTCCAGTCGTCGGACGCCAAGAAGGTGATCACCGTGCGGACGGCCTCCTTCAACGCGGCGGGCGAGAGCGGCAGCGCCAGCGTCGAGACCATCGATGCGGCCGCCGATCCGGGCCTTTCGTCCTATGTGTCGACCGAACTGTCGGGCGGCGACCGGCCGGAACTGACATCGGCCAAGATCATCATCTCGGGCGGCCGGGCGCTGGGCTCGTCGGAGAAGTTCGAGGAAGTCATCCTGCCGGTCGCCGACAAGCTGGGCGCCGCCGTCGGTGCATCGCGCGCCGCGGTCGACGCGGGTTATGCGCCGAACGACTGGCAGGTTGGCCAGACGGGCAAGGTGGTCGCGCCCGAACTCTACATCGCCGCTGGTATTTCAGGGGCGATCCAGCATCTGGCCGGCATGAAGGATTCGAAGGTCATTGTCGCCATCAACAAGGACGAGGACGCGCCGATCTTCCAGGTCGCCGACTATGGCCTCGTCGCAGATCTCTTCGACGTCCTGCCGGAACTCGAAAAGGCGCTCTGAGCGCCATCGCAATTTCAAACGATACTTCGGGGCCGGGCGGCATTCAGCCCGGCCTTTTTCTTTGCCTGTGCGGACCCGATCGCATAGCGTCCCGGCAGAACGGGGCGCGCCATGGCCGAGGCGGCGAGCGACATTGCGGCACCAAGCCGAACCTTCTGCCCGCGCCAACGGCGGCGGTTCGTGCTGGTCGCGGCAATCCTCGCCTCGTCGATGGGCTTCATCGACGGCTCGGTCGTGTCGATCGCCACGCCCGCCATCCGGGCGACACTGCCGGCCACGCTTGCCGAGGCATTGTGGATCAGCAACGCCTACATGCTGTTTCTGTCCTCGCTCATCCTGATCGGCGGCGCGGCGGGCGACCGCTACGGCCTGCGGCGAGTCTTCATGATCGGCATCTGCGTGTTCACGGTCGCGTCGCTCTTTTGCGCGATCGCGACCAATGCCGAGACGCTGATCGTCGCCCGCGCAGTGCAGGGGATCGGCGCGGCGATCATGGTGCCCGGCAGCCTGGCGATCATCGCCAAGGCCTATCCGGCCGATGAGCGCGGCAAGGCGATCGGCATCTGGGCCGCGGCATCGGCGCTGACCACCGCGGCCGGGCCCATTCTGGGCGGTGCGGCGCTGAGCGTTCTCGGCGATTCGGCGTGGCGATTGCTGTTTGCGATCAATCTGCCGTTCGGGGCGATCGCGCTGGCGATGCTGTGGTTTCTGGTGCCGCCCGACGAAGCGACGGGCCGGCGGCGTCTGGACCTTGTCGGCGGCGGACTGATCACGCTGGCGCTGTTCGTGCTGGCATTCGGGCTGACCGGCGGTGGCGGCGAAGGCAGCGTGCCCGGCGCGGGCGCGGTCACGCTGGCCATCGGCCTGTGCGCGGTTCTGGTCGTCCTCTTCATCTGGTGGGAGCGGCGGTGTACGGCGCCGATGGTGCCGCTCACCTTGTTTGCCAACCGCGCGTTCTCGGGCGCCAACATGCTGACCTTCACGCTCTATTTCGGTCTTTCGGCGATGCTTTTCTACCTGCCGATGACCGTCATTGGCGGCTGGGGCGTCACCGAGGCCGCCGCATCGCTTATGTTCGTGCCGATCACGGTCATGGTCGGGCTGTTTTCCGGAAGGGCTGGCGACTATGCCGACCGTCACGGACCGGCATGGCCCGTTACGGCCGGCTCGCTTATCGTCGCAATGTCCTACGGCGTGCTGGCGCTGACAGTGCAGACGCAGAACTACTGGCTCGGCGTGATGCCGCTCATGGCGATATCGGCTTTCGGCATGGCGCTTCTGGTCTCGCCCCTGTCGACGGCGGTGATGACCTCGGTCGACGATGACGATACGGGCACCGCGTCGGGGATCAACAACGCGGTGTCGCGCATGGCCGGGCTGGTGGCTGTCGCGGCGATGGGGCTGCTGGCCGCGGCGCTCTATCCGGTGCTGATGGGTGGCGGCGAGACGAGCTTCGGCGAGATCGTCGAGAATGCCGCTCCATCCGTGGCCAGGGCCCATGCCGATGCCACGACGCTGACGTTTGCGGCGATCGCCGGGGTGACGGCGGTTCTGTCGGCGGTCTCGGCGGCCATCGCGTGGACGACGCTGCCGCGCAGCGGAAAGGCGGATGCCGGGTAGGGCCGATCGTCGGCCGGTCAGCCGTCGGCGCGCGCAACTTCCGTCGGCTCTTCCAGTTCGATTTCCAGAAGCGCGTTGATGCGGTCGCGTTCGCGTTTGAAGGCGATGAGTTCATCGCCGTTCAGCGTCTTGCCGTCGGGCAGGCGGACACGCATCGGATCGACGCGCTTGCCGTTGACGCTCATCTCGTAGTGCAGGTGCGGGCCGGTCGAAAGGCCGGTCGAGCCGATGTAGCCGATCACCTGGCCCTGGCGAACCTTGGCGCCGGGCTGGATGCCCTTGGCGAACCGGCTCTGGTGCGAATAGGAGGTCTCGTAGCCGTTGGCGTGGCGGATCACGGTCTGCTTGCCGTAGCCGCTGTTCCATCCGGCTTCGATGACGGTGCCGTGGCCGGGTGCGATGATGGGCGTGCCGCGCGGCGCGGCCCAGTCGGCGCCCCAATGCATGCGCGAATAGCCGAGGATCGGGTGGCGCCGCATGCCGAAGCCGGAGCGGAACTTGCCGGTGGGCACCGGGTTGCGAAGGAGGAACTGGCGGGCGCTGCGCCCCTCCTCGTCATAATAGTCGTAAGTGCCGTCGGCGCTGCGGAACTTGTAGTATTTGCGCGACTGGCCGCCGAACGTGGCGCGCACGAAAAGCACTTCGCGCACATCCTCCCCGCCCTCCTCGGGAACCGAATAGAACAGTTCGAGCGAATCGCCGGGATTGACCGCCGAGCGGAAATCGACATCGGCGGCGACCATCCGCACGATCTTCGACGCAATGGGCTGCGGCAGCTCGTAGGCAAGAACGCCACGATAGATCGCATCATAGACGCTTGGCAGATCCTGTGCCGTCGGCAGTTCCGGCGCACGGTCGCGCGCATTCATGTGTCGCATGATGCCGGTGTCGACCGGCTCGGGGGCCGGGACGAACTGGTCCTGATCGTTAAGGGCGATCGTCAACACATGGTTGCGGCCCGAATAGACCGTTGCGCGTACGATGCGGCGACTGTCTGCGCCATTGTCCTCGACAAGGCCAAGCCGGATGGCGTGGCCGGCCCTGATGGTCTCCGCGTTCAACAGTGTCGAAAGCGCCTCGGCCATTTCCAGGCTGCCGCGATGGCCCGATGCCTCCATCAGCACAGCCAGTTCGCCGGCTTCATCGACCGTGATCAGGTCTTCGGCATAGACGGTGGCGCTGTCATCATCGTCCGGCTCGGCCACCGAAACATTCTGCTGAACGATGCGGGCCTGCGAACCCGTCGTGGCGATCCCTTCCAGAAGCGGATTGTCGAGCCCGAAGCGGCGCGGGTCGATATAGTGCAGCGAGGCCACTTCGATCGCGCCTTCGGTCAGAATGTCGGCGCTGGCACGCACGGCCTCCTCGGCCTCCCATTCGCTGATCTCGAACGCGGTGTCATAAACCTCGCCATCGTCGAAGACGAATTCAGTGACACGGATGGATGCGCCGGTCTCGATGCTGGCGCCGTAGATGAAGCTGCTGGTAGGCTGATTGTCGGGCTCCGCATCGGGCTGACCGGGTTCGGCAAAGATGGTCAGCGGATTGAAGGGCGGATAGTCGGCCTCGACGGGCCGTGCGGCGGCAAGCGCGATCGACAAATGTTCGAACGGCTTGGTGCGGACCACGTCCGCATCGCTCGTGCGTGTGACGGTGGAAACGCTCATCCGGCGCCGATCGGTCGGAGGGGTCGCAACCTGGACGGAGTTGCCGACAAGACGCGCGGTCTTGACCGCATCTTCGCCATGCCTGTCATGGCCCTTCTGCGAGGCGATCTCCGGGGGCGTTGCCAGAAACTGCTTGCCGTCGAGCGCGGCAAACAGCGCAGCGCCCATCAGCGTGGTCGATGTCAGTCCGGTCAGGAAGGTTCCCGTCAGCCAGCGCAGCGAAATTTCGCGCCGGTCGGGCGCGCGGCGGCCGGTGCTCGCGATGGCGGGCTCATTGCCCACCAGGTCGGCCTGCTTGTCCGGCTTCGCACTCATCGGCACCGCTGAAATGGTTGAACCCCGTCGGTGAATGCCTTGTGGCGGTAAATGTGTCAATGCGATGACGCGGCGTGCAGCAATGCCTATATAAGATGTGCCGTCCCATTCTGGCCGCAGGCCGGCAGGTCGGAAAAACGCCTTTTGAAAGGCCAAAAACCGTCCCTGCGCGGGCTGTCAAAAAAATGCAAAAAAAGCGGATTTCGTCGTTGACACCCGAACGGTCCGACGACTATATACCGCTCACCAACGAGGGCGGCACCGCCGCTGGCGGCAACTTGCTTCGCTCTCACGGTATTCACAGAGAGCCGCTTTAGCGACCCTCACATACGGTTCAAAGCCACGCTGCGGCGAGCCGGGACAAGCGCTCCGTTTGTCTGATCTTTGACAATTGAATCATGAAGAAAGAGAAACGTGGACGGCGGTTGTCCGCGGGGCATCGGGCCTTTCGGGGCTGCGGTGTCACGAGACAACTGGTGTCGTACACGTTTCTGACAGAGACATAATCGTTGTGAAAACAGCGGTGTACATATGTTCTCGTCAATTCAAGCGTGTCAGCGATATCCAGGCAAATTCTCATTCAACTTGAGAGTTTGATCCTGGCTCAGAACGAACGCTGGCGGCAGGCTTAACACATGCAAGTCGAACGCCCCTTCGGGGGAGTGGCAGACGGGTGAGTAACGCGTGGGAATCTACCCAGCTCTACGGAATAACTGAGGGAAACTTCAGCTAATACCGTATACGTCCTTCGGGAGAAAGATTTATCGGAGTTGGATGAGCCCGCGTTGGATTAGCTAGTTGGTGGGGTAATGGCCTACCAAGGCGACGATCCATAGCTGGTCTGAGAGGATGATCAGCCACACTGGGACTGAGACACGGCCCAGACTCCTACGGGAGGCAGCAGTGGGGAATATTGGACAATGGGCGCAAGCCTGATCCAGCCATGCCGCGTGAGTGATGAAGGCCCTAGGGTTGTAAAGCTCTTTCAACGGTGAAGATAATGACGGTAACCGTAGAAGAAGCCCCGGCTAACTTCGTGCCAGCAGCCGCGGTAATACGAAGGGGGCTAGCGTTGTTCGGAATTACTGGGCGTAAAGCGCGCGTAGGCGGATTGATCAGTCAGGGGTGAAATCCCGGGGCTCAACCCCGGAACTGCCTTTGATACTGTCAATCTAGAGGTCGAGAGAGGTGAGTGGAATTCCGAGTGTAGAGGTGAAATTCGTAGATATTCGGAGGAACACCAGTGGCGAAGGCGGCTCACTGGCTCGATACTGACGCTGAGGTGCGAAAGCGTGGGGAGCAAACAGGATTAGATACCCTGGTAGTCCACGCCGTAAACGATGGAAGCTAGCCGTCGGGCAGTATACTGTTCGGTGGCGCAGTTAACGCATTAAGCTT